AGTTGGTAAATTTTATAAACTCTTTTATAAAATATAAATCTTAACCATTTGGTAAAAGACAAAAAGTCATTTTGGTCCAAAATGTTGTACATAACTTAATAAATCATACCATATGATAATTATGTTACTTGCTAATGAAAATTGTTATTTCCATGAAATAAATAATTTCCAATTTAATTATAAGAGTTTATTGAATATTTATTAAAATCAATTTCTAATAAATAATCAATTATATCAAGTTGTTAGTGTGACCCGTTAGTATCATATGTTAATTAGCAATATCACTTTAATATGACTCTTGATCATACTAGACCTTTTAATATCTTCGTGGGTAGGGATTGGATGCTCTGTGTTTGGGAAGTGAGGGTCAAAGTGGAAGTATAAGGCGTATAGGGAGGCGGTACTCTGTTTTTGTATAAGGGATTGAACATTATACTGAGATGATGGGCTTGAAATTGGTTCACCTGTAAGGGTGATAACTTTTGGCCTAATATTAAAAGTGAGTTGTGGAATTGAGAAGTCTGCTAGGATTGGGCCTAGTGTGCTTAACCATGTGATACCTAATATGACATCGACACCTTCCGTTGGGAGGATAAAAATAGGAATTGTAAATGGCGTCTTTTGGAGGTGAATTTCTAGGGCAGTGCATTTACCGGCGCATTGGAGATTGCCCACCATGACCGAAAATTCTTGAATCTCTTCATGAGGGAGCTTTAAGGCGGTAACAATTCTTGGTGGGATTATGTTATGAGTGCTACCTGAGTCGACGAGGATTTTGACAGGGTGGTTGTTAATGTACCCAGTAACACTGTGGGGTGTCCAATCTCAAGAAGGCGGTCGTCGAAAGATACATAAATTGGTCCGTCGGCGTGTTCACGAAGGTGGTGGTGTTGTCAGCCACTGTTTTTTGAAGATCGGGTAATGGTTCGTCTTCGTTATCAACAATCATTAGAAACTGAGGGGGGGATACATTTATGGTCTGGACTATATTTAGCTAGACATCGAAAGCATAGCCCTTCGACGCGTCTTTTTTGGAGGGCTTATGGGGAAAGGCTGGTGAATGGGAGGGTGAGTTGTGATGGAGGGTTGGTGATGAGTGGTATGGTAGTTGTGATTTTTTCTGGTGTGGATGGGGGTATGGGTGATGAGCTTGGGAATGAGCTAGATGAGAATCTGGAGTTTGTATAGCGAGGTTTATTAGCTAGCTTCTCTTCAATAAGTTTAGCAAGGCCATAAGGTTGATGGAGTGTGGTGGGGTTGTGTATAGAAATCTGGTTTTGGATGTCGGTTCTAAGCCCGAAAGAATTAATTGAAAACTTGGAATGAAAATGGTCGTGGACCTTATGCACTCTACTTCACGTGAGCTAATATCTAGCCACTATTACCGAAAAAAAGGAAAGAATTAATCAACTTGGACCAATTCTCTTGCAGGTTGTTTCTTCCATTAGTCTCTAAATCGGACGGGCTTGCATATTGTACGTTTGGGCCTCTGGTGATCTTCAGTTGGGCTGTCTTGCATTGGTCTCGTATCATAGCTACAAAGAGAACCCAATTGTGTTTAGCTTAGCAAATTGAAATTGTGGCTTTTTATTGTTCCTTAGTTAGGTTAAATCCTCAATCACACGTGTTCATTCAATATTGTAATTTCTACCATGTACTTCATTATACAAGTTGATTTGTACCACCCATTAACATCGTTTTGCAGAACTACATTCAAATCTAACAACGAAAATAACATGATCATCTGTTACATTTGGTTTTATCCTAATGAGTAATCTGTATCTTCTATCACTAAACAAACAATCTAAAAGAACAGTCTAGATTATGATGGTTTTAGTATTCTCAAACCTAATTGAATTATCTTAGCACAAAAAGATGAAAAAAAAGATACTAGAATATATGATTAATAGATGATATTACTAGAAGAATCAGTGATAGTGGCATTTGGTGGATAGGAGAAAAGCAAAAGATCAATGTTAAGAACATGAACAAAAAGGAATGATCAAGACCAGTACTACTACTGTTGTTAATTAATTAACGATCAAAAAGGAATTAATATGCTTACGTCCGGTGGTTGGTAGCGAAGCGAGTGGTGGCCGGGCGAGATACCAGTAACATCGTCGGTTGTGTTGTGGGCAATGAATGGTCGTGTTCTACGGAGTGATTATCGATCTTATTCAAGTTTTACACGGGATACACTTACCTTTCATATCTTATTTCATCTTTTTTTAAATGATCATATCTACCCTAATAAATGAAAATGTTTTTGCCACTTGTCATTTCCTCAAGATTTTTGCCACGTGTTATTATGTGATATTTTTGAATTACTTAAATTCTACATGTCATTATGTGGTATTTTTATTTTTTTGTTAATAAAAAATTAATCAATTATATTAATTAACACCTATATTATTATATATGTAAAATATTTATTATATTAAATGTGTAGATCAACATTATAATTAATGAAACATTTATTATTTAAGGTAAATATATTTTTCTCCATAAAATAAATTTAATGATAAATAGTTTGTTTTTTCTACCACTAAAAACATTTATTATGATTTTTTTGTTACATAAATTAAAATAATGAAATGTTATAAAACAATATTGTCAAATTGAGATATAATAAAATATACTTTGTTAAACTTTGAGATGAAATAGGCATTAAAAATATTTAATGTATACACCTTCATATAAAACTTTTATTTTTAATAAACTCGTATAACATATGGGTTTAACATCTAGTATAGTTATATATTCTTTGGATTTAAACTTGTATCACGTAGGCCTTCTTCAGCCCTTCACTTAATATTTCACATACGACGGAGCCTTTGATTTAGGAGGGAAAAGAAATAAAGCAACGGCAAAGTATAAGATATGATGTGGGCAATGCTGCTGGATTTGTTTAAGTATCGAAATTATCGACTTTGAATACAACAAATAAGTCTGAATTCTGAAACATAAAACACCTCCAACTTCAACTTAATTATAACAACTCTAGCTACTCGATTTCTTTTCTGAACCGTATATATGATGCTTCATAATGTATGTGAAAATGGTCTATTGAAAATTGAAATGACTAAAACATTAAATTAAATAGAAAAAATATAAAAAATATATCAAGAGGGCAATTTAGTCATTTCAATTTTCACAGGGACCATTTTTACATACAAACTAATCCAAAAAGACCACTAATCCAAAAAAGTCGGGGTTTGGACTAAAACCCAAAAAAAATACATACCACAGAGACCATTTTTATAATTTTGTCTATTTTTTTTTAATCTACATCAAAACCAGTGGCAGTCAAGGGTGGGTTATAGCCCACCCAATCCACATTTTAAGTTCGTAATATATAGTATCTTTTATTATACAAAGAAAGTTGGGCTTCATATGACTAATGGCCCAGCCAATAACAAACATGAAATTGCATATAGTAGAATACTGCCTCTTTTTGACAAGTATAATACCTTTTTCCATTCAAAAATTTATGATGCCCATTTTTTAATAGTTCGCTCAGATGTTCACTCTTTCTTATTTCATTTGTTCATCAATCATCATCATCAGGTTAGTTTGTGATTTTTTTTCTATTATCCTAATTAAGTTTGTGATTTTTTTTTCGATTATCCTAATTACTCAGTTACTTTATTATTGTTTTTATTTTTAGCATAAATTTTATATTTTTATCTTAGGTTTCTAATAAATTAGGTCATTACTTCTTGCTATAAATTAATTATTTGTATTATGGTATTATATGTAAGTTTGTTTTGTATAAAATACAGGAGTATGTTTGTTATTGAAATTTTTTGTGATTAGTGAATTTTGTTGAGCAATAAAAACAAAGCAAAAAATATTAGATTCGTTTTTATGTTTAATTTTTTATGATCAGAGAATTTTGTTGAGCAATATGAAAAAAGCAAAAAATATTAGATTCGTTTTTATGTGTAATTTTTTGTGAATAGTAAATTTTGACATATCCTAAAACAAAATATTGGTTACGTCACTGACTCCAACCCCACTCCACTTCTTGCATCATTGTAAAATGTCACCCCATGTATTATGATATTTATTTATTTCTAGTTTATAAATATGACTATATATTTTATTAATATTATGTTATATAGTAAATTGATAATAGTTAATAGTATTTATTTGGTTATAATTTGTAGTAATATATTTTACAAAGTTATTACTACAAAATGATAATAAATAAATTTGTAAAAAGTTAATAAGTTGAATGGTGTTTTTGACAATTATAAACAAAGAATATACTAATGAATATATTTTTTGGTGTAGAAAATGGTGTTAAAAACTGACTAGAGTTATTGTATTATTTTTTTTTTATGCAAAAGAAAATAGTTGAGTTGATTGTATAAGATGGTTTAAGAAGTTGAGTTTTGATGAGTTATTTCAACCTTTAATTTGATTGGACTATGGAGTGGAACGCATATAACCTTTTAGCACTATGATAACTTTTTAGATTTTAGTTTTTACCGGAACAGAAGCCTGGTAACGCTTTAGGTCAGCTTGTAAACCTTTTTAGCTTAATTTTAAATTTTTATGAATAATTAATGCAGAAGTAGGCATCGTCATTTACATGTTTTCACTTTAGACAGTTGTAGATTAAAAAAAAACATAAAGAGACCCAGATAAACATATTCATTCAAAAGCAAACCGACTGTAAAAAAGTAAAAATTAGCACCACTGGCTCTACCTCTAGATAAAACGTGAAAACAAGTATGACATTCACAATGCTACAAAGTACAAAGTGCAAACCAAGCAAGCAAGCTCTCTAAAAATAGCTTCTCCAGATCAAATGGGAACATAGCATAGGTGGGCGGGCCTCCTCTCTCTTCTCCCTAATAAACCCAAAATATTCCGTACATAATCATACATACATGATACAACTTGCAACGTTTAAAAACAAAACACACTAAAATTACTCCATAACTATAGACGAAAAAAAAAGGTAGTAAATGTGTTTGTTATTATGAAGTGAATCAATCTCCTTTAGTCGAAGGCTCAACACAAGCACAAAAGTTGCTCTTCTTTCTTCTCCCACTGCTGCTAACAGTTGCTTTTGTTCTTCCAGCACCATAAAGATAATCTTTCAAAAGAACTCGTTTTTTAGTATCCATAAAACGAGATTTTCCTTGTGCCTCATTTTCATCATCCAGTTTCAACAACACGAATTGTATCTTTTGCACTTCTAACTGCAACCGGCCGATTTTTTCAGATACTCTTCTCGCTTGTTCAGACACCTTTTTCCTTCTCATGCTTTCGTTTTCTACCGATTCCGGTGTTGTTGATGAGTTGGAATGGCCCTCGATATGTTTCACCAGTTTTCCATTCAGTTCGTATAGCTTTTGAATCGCGGATTCCGCTTCCATGAGTTGGCCTTTCAACGTCTCGCATTCGATCATTGCTTTTCCTCTTCTGCTGTTTCCGGTTATCTCGACTTTCCGTTTTAGATCCTCGATTGTGATTTGAAGGTTTGTAAGCTTTTGAACATCGGAATTCAGTCTTTCCAATACTTTTCTTTTGTTTCCGTCGTCTCCCCGGAATCTCTTCGACACCTCTGGTTTCCCCATCTCCATCACCACGTTTGATTCCGATTCCAGAGTTTCCAGAGACACCTCGGAGGCGGTCGGATGGTGTCGGAATTTATCGGCACTCTCCCATGCCTCACCTTCAATTGGTCCTCTTTTACTCATCCCATATGAGGAACATTCCGATGCTTGATCCAACATGATGTCTTTTGGTAGGATTCCGATTTCCACTTCCGAAATTTCCGATGTCGATTTCGGCTTACTGTTTGATTTACGGGAACTCTTTTGATAACTCAATTCCTCTATCTGCCTCATTGCTGATTCCAGCTTTGCTTCGGAATCCAACCTGTCCTGCACTGCCAACATCTGCATTTCAAGCACAGCGGTTTCGATAGATCTAACCTTACTTTCAAGATCCTGCAGCTCAACAGATGGATCCTCTTCCATGCTTGAGGATTCAGCACCCTGAAAATACTCATCATTACAGAAACACGTCATTCTAAATTACTCCAAATACAAACATATATAATAATAATAATAATAATAATAATAATAATAATAGGGTCAGGGTCAATAGAGAACCATAATTAAACAAGAAACCAAATAACCAATCATGAGAATCGGAATCCAAATGGTTAATGACCAAAGATGGGGATGTACATTTACTAGTTGGACATGAATGCATTGGATCATAGGGGAGAAAAAAACTTCTTTTTTTCATTTTTTCATATTTTAGGCATTATTTTTTTTTGAAAAAAAAAACTAAATATTCCAAAATTCACAATGTGAATCTGAACTGTCCAAATTCACACTGTAACCTCATATAATTCAGTTTTTAGCAATGTGAATATTCCAAAATTCACAATGTGAATCTGAACTGTCCAAAATTCAAAATGTGAATCTGACTTCCTATTTCAATGCTTTGATCATTCATAAATTAATTTAGTGAGATTCACACGTGAATGGGTCTACATATTCACATTTACATATGAATCAAAGTAGGTTCATTTCCTTTCATACTATTTCAATGTTTTGATTATTCATAATGAGATTTGTGAAATTTACAAGTGAATTTATCTCAAATTCACATGTAAATTTACGTAGATCCCCACATATCAATATCATATTAACCAAATTCACATTGTAAATGCCAACAATTAAATTATCACACAGTTCATATTCACATTGTAAATCTGAACGAGCTGTAAGGTTAACAAAATCAATTTTTTGTATATCAATATGGATGTCTTTTTACAGAGGACAAAAAATTATGAATTTTGATATATTTGGTTTTTTTTTTTTTTTTTTTTTTACAAAAAGTATGCCCTAAAAATTTAAAAAAAAAAAAAGGTTTTTGCTATAATCCGGTGCAAGCGCATCCAACTAAGAAATATACAACCTTATATTTGGCGGTAGATTGTTTGCGATACGACACTTACGATTGCTGCCTTGGTTCCCTGTTTAATTATGGTTCTCTATTGAACTTTTGTATATATA